CCCGCCCACAAGGAGAAATTGCCAATTGGTTGGACAGAAGTGGTTGAAAATAGATCGCTAACCATCATTGCCCTATTAATAGGGGCCTGCCTTCGTATTATGGGGCATCCTGTGCATAAATCAATCAAGACCACATTTTACGGGAAATGAGTGACAAGGACATCCCCAGGGAGGACGGTGGCACCGATAGCCAGGTTTATATACTGTTCTTAAGCCAACCTTGCTCATCACACTAACAACACTTAGAAACGCATGAATGCTAATTCTCGCCCCGACGGAAATGACCAGTTGAACAAAAATACTGCCTCAGATGATGCGAACTCCACAGTTGCTTTACTACAGAGGGAAAATGAGGAACTCAAGCGAATAATAGCAGATTACAGGTTTACTATTACCAGGTGTATCAGAGCCCTGGGAAAGACTATGGATAGGAGGGAACAGTGAAAGCTTAGGGATTTTCCTGGATATCCATGTACTTCCTCTTCTTACCACCCTTCTGCTTACCTGCTTTGCAACCATCACAATGAATTCCGGAGTGTATATCGTGGTTAGTGGCACCAAAATGATTATCCAATCCTTGTTGATCCACAAACCATTGTATAGACTTGGGGAAAGCACTTATTCTATGCTTCTTCTTGCCTTGGCGGAGGGAGATTGTGAATACCTCGTCCAAATTACGGGCATAAAAGTATACAGGACACGAATAACACTGACAAACTAGGCAAATATCTCGTGGTGATAGACAAAGACCAAGATTTATGTCGTCTTTGTAAAATATTGATTCAGTAGTGTCCTTCGAATAAATGCGACTGATCAAAGCTTGGGCTGGAGCACGGCAACGAATGTAACCGGTACAGTAGTAGAGCCCCGTTCGAAATTCAGGCGCAGCCTTTAAGGTGAAATAGAACGACGTGGCCAATAGAACTAAGGTAGCCGCCTCTGTGTCATAGGAAAAAGCTGGTTGAATTCGAGCCCAGTTCTCTAGTTCTGCCATGCTTTTGGTATCCGTCATGGAAGGGGCGGAACCTGGAAAAGTAGTGTCAAATCGAAAGTGCTCTTGGCCTAAAGCCAGCAATTCCCTTGATGCGTGTTTTCCATCAAACGAGCTTATGAAGGAGCGATAAATACGTGGCATCCAGCCATCAGCGAAAATATTGCGGAAGTGAGATGCCGCCGAGGAGGAATGCAGTGTTTCGGAACCAGTTCCGAGAGATATCACGATGTCAGGTTGAGAGAAAGTTGGCCATATACGTTTCGATTCTGCAAACGCTAGCTGCGTGGGATTATTGTGTCTCCTCATCCCACCGTCTTGAAAAGTACCCACACCCGGGATATCAATTGTAGACATGTAACTAGCAGGTCAATTAATACGCCGACTTATCAAGACATCAGAGACTTACGGTGGAGCGGCTGCTGTTGCACGAGCTCTGTAGAGATTTAGTACTCTCAAATTGTAAATTAGACCATTAGACTTACACCTGCCACAAGAACGGCTCATCCCTCACACTTGGGCGGAGGCGACTGTATGCTGTGACAATTAGCCTGGAGAAGCTTCCCGCCAAGAATAAAGAAAAATACCGGATTGCATCTTGTGAGAAACCATGCCGTTATAATTAGTGAATATAAAAGGACTAGCGTCGTCAATAGAACATGCTGTAATTGCTACCTTAGTAGCAGATATTGTTGATTTTGGTGAATCAAACATCTTTCCTGAGCCGAAATGCTCGCGAAAAAGATCATCTAAGAGATCTGTACTGTATGTTGCATCTGACATGAAAAAATTGAGTAAACGCTTCCGACGGCTCTGGAAAAATCGTTTAAGCATGGTTTTAAAGGCAATTTTGCAGCTAGCGATATCCAGCTTGAGCATGAAAGCGCTAAGGACTATTAAGCCACCAGAGCTGGTACCTGTGGCAAAGTCAATCATGTCCTGCAGTACAAGGTCTTCGCCTAAGGCGTCTTGAAACATCTGAAGGCATTCAAGAGGTATAATGCCTCGCGGACCGCCCCCATCAATGCTCAAGACTCTAGCCGCTGCTGTTGGAGGTTTCAATTTGATCATAAGAGAACGTGCCTTCCGACAATAAAGACAATTTTGAATGGTGAATGCATGATCTATGTGGGGGACTCTTTCTCCATAGATTTCAGTACAGGTATCACATATAGAGTGGCCACATGACATGACATGCTCTGGAGATCGCCGAATGCACAGGAGACATGTCTCATTAGACATGATAGAGAGCCAATATCCTTCGAGGCTCTGTAGATGCTGACGGTGGATTTGTGAGGATGTTCTAACATCATATTTCATAATATTGAAAAAAGCCTGGAGATGATATTCGATACGGCTGCATTGTAATTGTGCCAAATCATCAGTGCTATAAACGTGGCGCAATGCTGTATAACACGCGTCACGGTACAAACCACGAAAAACTGTTTTGGGACAGAAGTCTGAAGAGCATTAGCAAGTATTTTATATTACAAAGCTGATACTGAACAACTGACGATGCATGCCAGGTGGGTAAGCATCCATTAAGATGGCCGAGGCGATATAGGAGGCAAGCCCGTCATAAGGGATTCGGGATTTACCTCCTACTGTGAGGAATGCGGTCAAATGAGCCGTAAAGGCTCCATCCAACGGATTCTGTTCCCTTGCAGCTGTGAGATAATTGTAAGGCCTCACCAATATAGAGGTCGTCTGTCTAAGTTTGCTATCAAAAAGAGCGCTTAAATGATAAGCAGAAAAATTCATGCAATAATGCTCTCGCGCTTGGCGAGCATCTCTGAGACAACGGGAAACATCCCTTGCAAGTGGGATGTGGCGAGCATCGGAAGACAATTCTTCCGATGAGAGTCGGCTAATTTGAATGTCCGAAAAAGCGGGAAGATCACCGAGGTCCAGAAAAAAGTCACTCTCGTCAAGAAGAGTATGTGTGATGCTGCTGGCGTCGCCTTCAAGAACAATCAGGACGCGTGGGCTAACCGCCCGAGGTGAATTAGATCCTAACCCAATTCTGTCCCATAATCGTAGCAGGCTTTGCACAGCCGTGAGGCCTCCGATGTCATCGGCAAATATACAGATAAGATCAACAAAAGCGAATAGAACTCGCGAGAGGACGAGGTCGTGAGGGGAAAAGTCTGTGGCTGGCCAGTCTACCGGTATGCGATTATCGGGGTGGCAAATTCTAGGAGTGACGAATGAGGATGGCATTGACCGACTTGTAGGATCACAGTCAGCAAAGAACCGCGGCTGTGCCGCTTGGAGTGAGCGGTTATCTGAGCGCAGGTTGATTGAGCGCTGGTGGCGTTGGCTATTTCGGTAGTTACTCTTGCAAAATTGTCGCAGAGCCTCGTCCTTGCGCCGTCGGCCCATGAAAAAAGTGATTTGGGGTACCTGCTCGCTTGGTCGAGGTAGTTCCTGACTCAATCTGCCCAGGCGCGAACCAGACACCAGTTCCGGCCATGGTCTGCCTTGATTATACAGTTCGAGCCACGCTATATGATCGCACCTTGACATTCTGAAAATTCAACAAGATCACCTGTGCTTTTACCCCGTTAAGATAATCCATATTATGGACTCTCGACGTTCTTTAAAGTACAAAAAACACCATGGTCATGATACCGTGGCATTTTTAAACGTGGCATTCAGGCCATGGTCTGATATGCATTTTATGCTGAATACTTCTATCACAATTTGATTTAAGTTCTAGTAGGTTTTTCATGCACGGCAGTACTGTAACCAGTTAGGTGTTGTTTATTCATGTCTGAGTAGCTTGTTTGTAGATCACTATGCAGATTTCAATGTTGCGATATGCTTGTCCTGCTCTTCGATGATTTTTCTGTACTTTGCTTCCATCTGATCTTCAAGGTCGAGTATAACATCCGTTATCTGCCGTGAGCGATCTCCCTTCACAAGCATGCTGTCCTCTTCCAGGAGCATGGTATCGACGATAGAATCTATCAGATGAAACTTTCTTTGTGTCCGATCAAGCTCTAATGTCAGATCATGACACTGTCGCTTTTCAATGTCTAGCATCCTTTCAATCTCTTCATGCGCAGCTTTCAATCTGAGCATACTCTCTTGCTGTAATGCAATTGATGCTACCAATTTTTGTTTGTCTCTCCTCTCCAAATCCAAACAGTGCTTTGTATAAGCGTGGTCTGAGCATTCTTCCTTAAGCCTCTGCTTGTGGAAATTATTAGCCGCAGTGAGATCTTGCAAGGTCCTATGCTGGATGTTGTGATCGGCTTCCAGCTGCTGGAAGGCAGCGTTGTTGACAGAAGACTGGCGAAGTACATGTCGCAAATAGACGATATGGTTTCGATAGAAGGAGACTCTATCACCTGTAGGTGATTCAGGCGCGAATAGTGGTTCCTTTGCAAGTTTCAGCAATGTGTAATTTTAAATAGCAACCACAGTCGACCTACATTTTCTATGATGGATCTTCGTCCTTGCGGAATATCTTGATTCATAGTGGCTCGTGTGCTTGAATATTTGATATCTTGTGAAGACTGAAAGCAGGTGCCAGGTTTATAGAGAAGGCAACTGGGACTCGGAGATAAAATAGACGGTAAAGGGCACCCCTAAAATCTCACTCTATTGCGTTTGAAGCTAGAAATCGCCTCTACCTAGCCCACCAGTCGGTAGTATCAGTAAAGTAAGAAGTGATGACTTGACTAAAGGCGCTATGATAAAAATGGTTTAGAACGAGGAGTGGATCGCATCGATAAACATTGAGAGCAGTGCCTAGTGATACAGCTTAAACTATCACCTTATAGAACATTTTTCAATTGGCCACGATTGGCGCAAAGTAGACTATTACAATATTATCCAGAGCCTACCATAGCATACTTGCGAATTTGACTGCGCCGCTGATTTGCGCTTCTATACCCTGGTCGTCGAAGAGCCTTGGAGGCGGCACAGCTCCCTAATGACCTCAAGGATAGCAGTATATAAGTACCGCAGAACGATGTTTCTCTGAAAATAATGAGTCAAAATCATGGCGAGAGTGGCTTGGACCCCGGAAGAAACTGCAATCGCTATAGTCTTCGACATGTGGGGCATCGATCATGAATTGATTGCCAGGCTCATCACGGAGCGATGGTCTATACTCATGGGCGTGAGTCCAAATGACTCCGTATCCCAGTATGGGCGGACTACAAAAGCCTTAGAAGCCCGACTAGAGCGCATTCGATTACGAAGCCCCGTGCTCTGGGATGGGCAGGAATGGAATCCAGATGCTGTTAGCGAATTCCTCTTCTCCACAGCCGATAATGACCTTGTTTTGAATTTATTGGCACTATCGGCGGCCGATGCTCATAGGATAGCCCAGGTAATTGTCGGTCAGATCCCTATTATAAACACTAATTTAATCGTTTAGCTGTCCTAGGATCCAAGCGTCACCCTTGGTGCTTTCAGCAGTTTGACTAGCCAAGCAGATTCTAGCACCAGACATTGAATACTCTCCTGACCTTAGTAAGTTTAGCCTCCCTTCGAAGCACATCCTCTGATTGTTGGAAAGACAGTAATCATTAGTGGTGAGGGGTGGGAAGTTGAAGGATAGGCGGCCATTATCTACTTCGCATCTGAAGGTGTTCCGCTTAACTCTATTGTTGCTATCCTCCACCAAAGAAACTTCCTTTGGATTTAACATGTGGTGAATCGTAAGCTGAATGAGCTAAGGAGAAACTGAGTTCTCGGAAAATATGACAGTTGGAACTCGCAGATAGTCAATCACTACTTGGATGAGATGGAGCAAATATGCAGTACAGATCTTGTCCTTGGGCCTATCGAAGAATGTTATACAGTATGCATAAAAGTCCTTTGCCAAGTATTGTCTTTTTGACCTATCTTTTCGGGTTCCACATGTAAATGCGCTCATCTTAGTTCAACCAACAAAGGTTTGCAGAAGCAGCACAAACAAACATCATCCAATACAGAGGTTATCACATACATTTTAGCAGTTGATTTTCTGTGCTTGAATGCAAAAGGCGGATTAGATGGTGGATTGATGGCATTGTCCAAACAAAAGTATTTCTAGATAAATCGCAGCTTGGTTCCTCGCACAATAAATTTCGTCATGAAGCAGCCTTTGTGTGTCTTGTCACAACATCTTAAATAAAGAAGATTCTGCTGCTCTTGCTGCTCATCTGCGTCTCCAATCTGGGATAGATAAAATCCTCTTGTTGGCTCTCTGCAGTAAGGACAGTAAGGTCGAATATCTTCTGAAATAAGTCTTGCCTTGGCCTGTGCAAAATTACCACTTGTCGCACGGTAGACATATTGATGAAATGTTTCTTGGAAGCAATCGAAGCACCACGGATGGCCGCAGTCGAGTACGATATCAACTGCGTTCTGGTAGCAAATCTTGCATTCAAGCAGTCCGAGTGGATGATCTCCCTGTGCAGTATGCTTGGATTTGCATGAAATGCAATGCGTGGAAAACTCATCGTCATTGTTCTCTCTGTGTTCATCATCTTGAGATTCAAGTGTAGCCACGTTTACTATGTAATGTAAGCACCATGCCTGTGGCTAGAAATAGATATTACATACCATCACTTGCTCCAGATAGAGAAAGAGTTGCATAGCTGTCATCGTCATCAATCACAATCGGATTCTCTGTAATCGGTCAGTTTTAAATCCAGCCGATTTATGGCGATAGCCGGACCTTTAGAACTCCCTGGTAGGAAACAAAGATAATCAGGCTCTCTTGACATCTTCAGATAAAGCCAGACACAAGCCCAGTACAGCACAATGATTGTAAAACAAGTATAAATAAATGACGCTTGTGAGGGTGTTCTTTCTACTTTAAGTAGGATCCAGAGCATAAGTAAGTCGCCATCAATAAGGAGTAAGCATGCTGTGCAAAGAAGCATAACCACCAGGTTCGAATGACCACAGGAACGGCTCATCTTGCACTTCAGCGATACAACAGAGTCATGAGTGGGTTTCGTGGTCTATCTATTCAGGCGGCGAGATTGCCATTATGGTCAGAAATACCGTGTGGTCTTGCATGGATCAGAAATCTAAGCACATCAGCCAGTCTCATGACAGGACATTCCGTAGGGCGCTACTCCCGGTGGGATCAGGTCTACCATATGAAACTCCATGCTTCTTGAAAAGCATGGCTAAGCGTCAAACCATGTGAATGATTCGGCCATAAGGTACGTCTTACCGTGGGGTCAAGCTAGCCACAAGGTACTCCATTATTTTTTAGTAAACATAGCAGAACGGCTAACCGCTTGGTTGTATTATACGTAGGGCGCGTTTTACAGTACGGCCAAACCTGCCATGGGGTACTGTAGGTTATCCAGATTAGGTATAGTTCGAGGTTCGCCTGGTCGTATTATCCACATAATTTAGTGGACCGCGCGGTCATACCTCCTCTACAGTACCCTCTTTGTCCAAAGACTAAGAAATGATGTCAACCCTGCGACTGCAGCTTCCCTGCGGCTGAGCTTGGCACAACAAATCACACAACACACAGAGATTCAAGGAAAAGCTACAATGAGACTGAAAGCTTGCAAGTCAAACTTATGCAACTAAGCTCTATTTACTATCCATGTTATACCTTTCAAATATTATCGCTTTCTTATTGATTTATGTTGTTTCTGAGGTATTCTATGGAAACTAGAGTGCTAGGTATTTGATGATGGTGAACATGAATGAAGAGCATGGTTCAGGTTATTTAGACCATGGTCTTCGGGTGAGTATAAAAGCCTGTCAAATAGGAATTTTCACTAGTATAGTACCTAAGCAATTGACTTCTTTTCCAAAAATGAACAAGGTTGCCACAAAAGACTCAGACAAGAGCCGCTTGTCTACATTTCCGCGGACAAAAACAGGGCAACAGATTCTAACAAAGAGAGTGATAGCCAATCTCGAACCATCCTGGGATAGCAAGCGACATGCCAAAAAGCTCCAGAAAGAATCACAGGAGCCCTCAGCAGGATTGCAAAAGGAAACAGCAGATCCATGGGAACGTTATGAGAAGTGCTTCAAATTACATCAGGCTGGTGAGGGATATCTTGTCTTTGCTAAGAATGCCACCTTCAAAGAGGCTATAATGAAAAGGACAGAGATCTCTAGCATAGACGTGGTCTCAGACCTTACTGCCGCAAGTCATAAGAATCTTGTGCAATTGTACGAGGTCTTATATCGAGAAGGCACATTGTTCCTCTTCTACGAAGTTATGGACGTATCCCTAAATCAGGTTTTTGCAACCCCTCTTGGGCGAATGAGACTTTACGAAGTGGCAGCGTTCTCTCATGATATACTTTTGGGCCTGAACTATATACACCAAATACATCGAATCAGTCATGGAAACATCAATTCGAATAGTATTTTGTTGGCAACTAATGGTTCAGTCAAAATCGGTAAGTCGAGTGCTCAAATTATGTGTCATGATTTAAGCTAATAACCAATAGCCAATTTCGGTGAGAGTAAACTACATAGTCAAGACCTAGAGTCACATCAGGATGATATCCGATCAATCGGAACAATGATAATCGAGTGCCTAGAGCCCCAAACTTTTCTTCAAAAGGAGGATTGCTTGAGGTCGAAGACATGGGATCCAAAGTTGATCAACTTTATTGAGGCAACCAAGCAAAGGAGTGCACAGTATCTCTTGAAGGTTTGGCAGTTCTTTCCTTTTATATTGGCATTGTCTGATCGTTCTAGGATGACTTCCTTCAACTCTCCCCCGGGTCGCCATGTCTGAAACCGTACATTCGACTGGCGCGAGAGTTGGCTAACAATCAAGTCGAGCTCCAAAGAGATTAATCATATCGATTCAACATGAGAAAGGTTTGAGGTTGACATAATTTTCATGATGAGTAATGGTGACTTTAATGTTGAATCACAAGCAGATAGCATTTTCCGATTGATTCATTAATTCAGAATAGTATATCTCGATACAACGTCTCTAAATCAATTATTGTGTCTGCATCGTGGCATGTCTATAATATAATCAATTTACTTCGAAAACGCCTTCATAATACAGCAGCTAAATATATACTTATAGACTACTATATCCTCATAGTATAGCCTACCATTGTAACGTCCATTGCCCGTTCTGGAAGCTTGGTAGAGGACTTTCAGTAATGGTATCTCTTTGCTGCAAGATATCGTTCCTGAACTCTCCAATCGGGCCATGAAACACGAGAATTGGGGCTGTTTGGCAAATATGTGCCAGGGTTGTTGTGTTAAGAATTGGCCTGTTATCATCTGGAGGGGTTGCTAGCCACGAATCCTGAAATTCTGGCAGATTTCCGCACACTGTTGCAAGAGAATTCTCAAGTACACAAATGCACTTTGCAGAATTGATATCGAAGAAGATTGTGTAATGTGGGACTTTTCGAGCTTGTGATATAACCTTCCTCCAGAAATTCCCGGGACATATAGTAGCTGTGAACACACAGTATTCTCTTGTCTGTTGTATGATAGCATTCTGCGTCGGAAGCGAGGCGTCTAACAAATTACGAGAGATAGATGCAATTGCTGACTCATCGATCGGCAGCGCTGGTAAATCCCAGCTGGGAGGTGAAAAGTCCACCATGTTGAGAAAATCCAGGGCCATGTTGTTATCAGCGTCGGATTGTCCATCGTCAGATAATTGACTAGTAAGAAGGGCGGCATCCGATTGCCCGAGCATCACACTATCTGCTCGATCCTCGTTGCTGTTGGGGTGACTGAAAGAAGTCTGGTTGTTATTGCGCTCTGGTTGCTCTGACATTATTATATCTACTTGCTCGATAGTTCCATTCTGATGGTTTTCCATGTCGTGGTTAATACTGGTCTGTATATGCTCTGGCATCACGGTATCCCCTCCGTTGAGCGTTTCTTCAGCTTCTAGATCGTCTGCTCCCGGGAAAAAAGCAATAAACATGTCACGTTTCACTTCAAAGTCTGTCGGATGTTCACGTCTCTCGTCGTTTTGTAAAGTATAAATCTGATTCAGGAAGAGGTATTTCTGATCAGCAAAATAGGAATCAGCATCGGTCATCCCGCATCGTCTCTCGATTGACCACGGTGTACGGGAGTCTGTGCTATGGTATGGACGGGACAGTGCTACTGGTTTCCTGCCAATACCATTCAACACTCTAGCGACCTGCTCAGTGCACGATGACAGGATAACTTCATCGTATTCAAAGAGATTGGGTGGTCTGAGTCGCAATAGCAAAGAATGCACCGCGGTATACTCGGAAGATTTCGCTGAATCGTTCGTGGACGATACAAAGCCAACTTTGTTAGCAAGGTCTTTGAACCGAGCCCATAATTCGTGGTAGTCTGCTGGCTTCCGGGAATGCTTGTGGATGCCAATTGGCCGATGCTCTGAAAGCCCGTAGAAATTGCGGGTGGCGAATAAGAACATTTGACGGTATGCTGACCAGAATCTTGTACTTCTATCCTCCACTGGATTATAGGCAAAATCGTTCTCTGTTATTTGGATCGGCAGTGGATCTTCACTAGAAGCAATGTAACATGCCCTCATTGCTTCTTGAATGGTGCCCGCAAAATTTGATGGAAGGAACTTTTTCATAACCTGCATTACGGGCTTAATGTACTTGGTATTTTCTAGGAAGGTTTTGAGCGAGGGAACAATGCCCTTAAAAGCGAGGGCTGCCTGGTGTAATTGAGATCGAGCCTGAGCATCTGTAATATGGGAAAATGCTCTCCCATTGTTGAATATTTCATTTATATACCAACAATCACCGTCGGACCATTGAGGGCATCTTCCTTCAAGAAGTTGAATTGTCTCTAAATCAAGATCACTATGGTGTCCGCATGTCAAAACATGCAATGACCGATAGATATGATCCAAATAATTAGAGAGTTCCTGCAGTTGTCAGCACAGGAAGTTTTGGAAGTGAGACAATCATCAGACCTCAGGACATTGCATACTCAGGAGATGGGTACCCATTAACCAGGGTTGCCATATGCCAGGGAAATCAAGAAGTTTGTCTAGACTTTTCTGGAATCGTTTATAAGGCGATCCTTTGTCTCTGTAGATCTGACGGAAGTCTCGACATTTAGTTGGTGACCATTTTGCTAGCCACTCCCCGGCAGCAGCATCATTTTGACATTTCTGGTAGTAGCGGACATTGAAGAATATCTCTCCGTCAGATAAGACTCGTGAGCTGTCTCTAAACTCATATAAAATCCTCCTCGCTTTATCATCAAGTTTTGAGTTATCATACAGGGTCACATTCCACCAAATATCATCTGGTGGCAACCATGAACTTGCTGCTGCGATTCGATGTCTCCCTCTTGTACAGTCCAAGAAGCAGTTTGGAGCTAATATGATGGCAGGAATATCCGAGCCAATGGCTGAAAGAGAATTCATTGTAAGAATTTCGCGGTACTGGTCCCTTGACACCAATGCGTTGATATAATTTGGCGGAGCTGAGCGCTGACAGCCCTCTTTCTTAAATCGATGCTTAAGACGGTTGATATTGCCCTGGTCAACTGAGTGTGTCTTAAGCTTTCCTTGCAAGCTTGTAAAGCGCAGCTGTCTGAGTTGATGTATCTTCACAGTGCCGAGCTGTGCAGCGGAAGTTAGATTCCAAGGGTTGTCCATGACGAGTACTTTGACACATCTACTATATCGGTATTCACCATCATTCCTGCATGAAGGAAGGTTTATATGGTAGGATGTATCCTAGGATTACTAAGTATACCATGGTTAATCGAACAAGTGGATTCATAGGGACTTGTACAATTGTTTGCGGCTTTCAAGACGGCCAATGGGGACTCAGAAAATGTTGGTTAATGACTAACAGACTGTTCAGGAATCAGTGGCTTAAACACCATGACCGTGGAAGTCAGGGTTTTGGTGCTAGCGCTTCGTCGAAGGCTGACAAGTAACTAGTTGGGAAACACCATGGAGGTTTACCTTATATAGAGCGAAAGTCACTGAGCCTAGTCTGCTCTGCTTAAAACCACTACTTTTCCCACCAAGAAAACAGCAAGAGAATAAATGGTGTCATGGAAATTGTTGAAATTGCCGGGGCGCGATGTGGCCGGCCTCGGTATGTCACAATAGTAGAAATCCGCGGGCTGCGAGCTGCGAGCTTCTGACACGTGATCAGGTCAAAATTTGACCACCGGCGAAGATGTTACTTTAACATCTCACGAAGATGAATCTGCACTGGCTTATAATGTATTCGCATTGAGTGCATTAACTGGAGGTCCCGGCATCCCTATCTATCACTGGCATGGCAAACACACAAACAAATATATCCTAATCATAGATCTTCGTGGGCCGAGTCTTGAAGAGGTCTTCGAAAAAAACGGCCGAGAATTCAAGACACCGACGCTGGTATACTTAGCAGAGCAGTTGGTGGCCCGCTTGCAATACATTCATGGTCGGTCTATAACAGTTGGCAAATTAACACCTTACTCATGTTCTGTCGGCTCTCAGCAGTGGCGAAGCCCACAATTACTGATTGACCGCTTTTCACCACCCGCAGGGGCTCAGACTTTTGCACAGGACCTGAATAGCCTGGGCGAACTTCTTTTGTACTTCTGCAATGGCTTTGTCACATGGGAACAATTCCAAGTTGCTAGGAAAAACAGCCATTCATTCACGCCACACGGCACACTGTCGGTTTTCATATGTGAACTTCTATCACAAAACCCGCCAAACTATCCACGCTTGAAGCTCATGATCGAGCATATGTATAACAGTCTGGATGTCCCTGAGAGATTTCTTCCATTTTATAATAACGAGCGATTCATGTCTGCCAGAATCGACTCGACTGGGGTTCTTTTTGCCCATCTTGAGAAGCATCTTGCGAAAATTGGTTGTGAAGTGAAAGGGCATCAATCTTGTTTATGTGAAATGGTTCCAAGTTCCCTTGGTCTTATCTTGGATTTATATTACGAGTTATTCATAAGGCTTCGCCCTCGTCATTCGAAAGGTCTCTACCTTGTTAGAGCTCATCATTTGCCAAATCGATTATGGAGAGATCTACGCTGGTTAATAACAGCAACAACAAAGGAGTCAACTATGAAGCAAAAGTCATTCGCTGATATGATATACAGTTTTTTAACAGTACTATTCGAAACTGTTCCGCATTATCGAATTTACTGGACCGAGTATCTTCTAAGCCAAGCGCATCGTCAACGAGAATTAGAGGTTGATTTCAACAGGCGGCAAGCATGGGTTTCTACAATCCGTCACTGGGAGATAGAACTTCACAGGCTCAAAGCTATGCCACCGGAATGGCTTGTTGTTTGATTGACACATTTATACAGGCTCCAGGCACATTCCATAGTATTCAGTGATATTTGAGAATAACCATCCAACTTAACTGCAATATAGATCAATTGACAAAAAAAAACAAAAACAAAAGAGTATGCGCTACCTAAAACAGCCAGCTGATAGAAATGGGAAGAAAAGCAACAATCAAACATGATAAAAAGGCTATGTTGAATAGCCAGGTATCACTCAAAGCGAGCATGGCTTCCAGCATTCTTGCACTGTTCTTGAGCCTATTTGTTCTCACTTTTGGAGACTCCCTGTGGACCTTGTGGTCTTGGAGCTACCTTTATCAGTACTTTCAATTGCCCTCATTTTGCCCTTGGCACCTTCCTTGTCGGTACTTCCAGCTGTCTTTCCTTTACCCTTGGCGCCTTGCTTATCGGTACTTTCGGCTGTCTTCCCTTTACCCTTGAGGCTTTCCTGCGTGGCACCCGTAGGCTCTTTTTCTTGATTTGACGAGTTGATCTGAGTGGTGGAAAATGAGCGGTGCGGCAGAGTAAGCTCTGGTGCTTTGCCAGCCGCAAATCCCTTCCCAGGTAAATCATTGTTGGCCAAAGCAATTGAGCCTTCCGAAAACAGACCACGTTCACCTTGAACTCTTGAGAGATAGAGGTTAGAACTTGTTGTTTTCTCCGTGCCTTCCTTCTTGTCGGGGGCAATATACACCCAAGTCGAGAGGGGTCCACGCCGTGATTCATTAGTTGACCAGTCTTCCGGGTTGGAGGAGGCCACTTTGATCATGGTAAAGAGAACGCATTGTCGTACTGAAATGCTTGCTGTGTGGTCTCGATGTTGCGCTTTTGAATCATGCTTTATCGCATCAGAATGATAAAGAGTCCACTTTCCATCGCTGAATTCACGACGAAGAAAAACAGTCCATCTGTAATTAGTCATGAAAGCATATTTGAGATTCGCAGCCCACATATCTCTTGCTATCTGTCCTGGAACTTATTAGAGATATACGTACAATACTATGCAATAGTTACTTACCGAGAAACCTTCGGAGAAGCTTCTCGCCCTCCTTGTCCCCCTTGAGAGCTTGCTTGATATTCGCGTCAGGGAGAGTTCCCCAGGGGTGCTTGGCTTCCCCAATTGCGCGGGCTTTGCCTTTGTCATCAATTAGGGCATAGTCGGGGATCGATTCTCTCTCGGGTTTCGCGGACTTTTGCTTTGACCTTCTGTCTCTGTGATGGTGCCCGGTTTGCCAGTGAAAATTTTATCCTGCTCGTTGGCTAGGGTTAGAACCGGCCATTTCAACTTATCCACAGTGACAGTCCAATCGCCGAAGTACAGAGGATATCCGAGGATATTAGCAACACCAGTTAACGGGTTTAGAACATTCGATATAAAGCGGGCGCTGCTTGAGATTTCGGCGCCGCAAAGAAAATGCTCTCTGTAATAAACATCACCTGTCTCAATATAAGCTGTGACAGGATGCTGATAGTTTTCCCATTCGACTTTTGCGAGAACCTGTTCAACTTCATCTTGAAAATCGTGCCAATAACGCAATTCTCCGATGAAGTCTATCACGTGTAGACCTGTACCTGAGGAATGTTTCCCGGATCTTTCTGCTATGTCTGAGAACAAGTCTTCAACAAACTCATGACAAGTCTGGCAGATGATCTTCATGCTTTGACTTTTTTGCTGGATATTTTATATAGGTATCAAAGGGATAGTGTATGACAATCGATAATGGATGGCTTTAGAGCTCCTCAAAAGAGGATAGAGACTTCCTTTTATACCTTAAGCTATTGATTGTTTACTCTCCTTCTTGAGGCTATAACCTGAGATCAACAACATGCAAGTCCGATAAATCCAATACTAAGTTCTACAGCTCTAAAGCCGTCCAGTCTTGGTATCTGCAAGCTTTGAGAAGATCAAAAGGGTCATCAACCAAGCTATTCTGTAACCGAGTGTCATACTATTCAGATTTAAAAGTTTGAGTTTATCTCAACTTGGCGAGTGGTTAGTCTATTTGTTCAAGCAATTATTTACGTAGCTTACTAGTCTTCCGTCAACGATGCTGCCTTCCAAGAGCTACAAACCAATGAAGAAGATTCGGACCCAGCACAAATCACTACAGTAATCTGAAGAAGTATCTTTGAAACTACTATTCTCGCTCTAGAAAGACCCTATAAGTCACACGTAATATAGCGTCGATAAGTGTAGGTGTACTTGTGCAGTGGTTTTCTGTTAGCTTTTGGAGATTTTCGATCTCGCGGTAAGCTTCTGAGCTGATGTCGTTACTTCCGTCATCCCAAGGGGAGAGCCTAGTTCAGTTAGTAGCTTCATTCGTACTTCCACAGTATGGCCCGTACTGTTGCTTGATCTTGACAATAGCTTCCTCCCAATTATCTGAACCATTGATATGTGTTGCTCTGCAAACACCTGTTAATTCTTCAATAGTTCCTCTGGATTCGTCATGTGTTTGAATCTTTTCTGTAAGGATTTCATCAATTCTTCGATATGTGTTTGTGCCGCGGAAATGGATTTTACGACCAGGCAGCCAGTCCAAATGATGGCTTCGAGCGAGTACGGTTTCCATATTCATGCTTCAAGACTGACAACGAGTCTTCAAGAAGGAGATGCACGAGACCTTTATAGGATTATGTTAAGACTTCTGTAACAGACTGATGAAGGAATGCGTTTTCGCACTAGTCAGATTGAAAGGACATTTGGCAGATGTAGTCCACCGTATTCTCGGCGGAAATGCAGCTTCCTATGCGAGCATTTGGCATGGATCAGATGTAGTGCTTTCAAAGGCCAACATTACAATGTTTCTCAAAACGACTATTTCTTGTAATTACTACAAGTCATAGTTTGGGTAGTATTGTGTCTTAATAGCCAAACTGTTGCTTGAGAACAGTGAGTTCTAGCGGGCTAGGCTCAAGTGTGAGGGAAAACTTTCAGCCGCCTAAGCAGTTTGTGTGGTTTTTTGATGGGCTTGGGTATCAGTCAGTCTCACGTGACACATGATTAGGCTGACAACAACTCTGCTGACCCCTCATTAACAAGGCTCCTTTTCCATTTGATACAGACTTTCGAAGTTCGTGAGATAGAGTCGCATCGGCTATCAACTATAATGGCGCAAGATGACTCAAATCGGAGTGTCTTCAAAGAGCTTCCAGATCAAGCAAAGGCAACTGTCGAGAGAATCAAAAAGATTATTGGTGAAGACACTACAAAGAAGGAAGGCAAAGCTAGCAGTGGTTGGGGGTTCTCTAGTGAGGATCTCAGCCAGGAAATTCAGAGACTATCAGCTGAGCTAAGTATCAATGGATTCAAAGTAAGTCTGACTTTTGGGGAACAAATCAGCGGCTACTTACTGACAAACCTGGCGAGTGTTGCAGGCATACAACTGCAAAGTTCTCCACCTTGTACACGGCGGAATTATCCAGAATGGAACAGGCCATCAAATCATAATCCCGTTGAACGGAAAAGCGAGCTTTCTACACGACAAACCTCTCTTACCATGCCACTACACCACTCAAAAAGAAACTATCTTGGGCGACAATATCGATCTTATAATAATGTCGCTGAAAATTCTTTGAGACTTGTGGAGAGAATCATGTTCTGAACTTTCAGATCGGGTATAAGTCTTGAAGAATGATTATGAAGGCTATCGCTTGCCCAAAGGCTGAGAAGCCCTTATTGCGATTCATTTTCCATTGAATACTGTAGATCCAGTATCGACTCACTCACAGCAGTAG